CCTGGATACGAAATTCACCAAAGCAGTGATACTTTCGGACTCACAGTCAGCAATAAACTCTATTGGAAACAGAGAGACACCCAAAACAGCTGAGATAAAGGAATGTAGAAAACTCTATGAGCTGCTGAGAGAGAAAAACAAAACAGTGGTCCTAAAATGGATTCCTGGTCACTGTGGCATTAAAGGCAATGAGATTGCTGACACACTTGCTAAGAAGGGGACAACGATTTTGCAATGCATGGACCGACCGTTGTCTTTCCACACAATGAAGGCCTTAATCAGGAGAGAATTCCAGACCTCAAGGTTCAACGAACTCAAAGCTCGAACAAAGGAGAAACAGTGGACAGTGGCACTCTCCGACATACCCGACTGGCCAAGAATCGAAGCCGTTGCTGAGTTTAGACTACGTACCGGACACGATTGCTTGGCAAAACACCTTCACAGATTGGGAGTATACACTCAACCCACATGCCCTCTATGTAACCTACATGAGGAAACGGTGAAGACCCACCTGATTCGGTGTCCAGCCCTAAAGACAACGACGGAAAGCCAGAGATACTGGGAAGCAAGAAGACTGCTAATGAACTGCTATTAATTAACTGCTATAAATGTACCCCCCCCCCCTCTTGGGGGAAGCTGAAGTCAAAGATTAAGGGCTAATGATAAATATCATAAAGACTGCCATTTGAAATAAATAGATTGTGGGACTTAATATATTGTATTGCGTGCAAAGTAGCTCGATAGATCTGGAAGGCATGCAAAATTTGGAAAAACGTACTCTTTCTTATTATATCAAAAGATTTGTCAATGCCTATATCTTCTTGGAGTTCACCAATTAGAGGCATGCATTACACGTGTTTCCACAAATTAACCTTAAGAAAGATAGGGACTTATAGTGTAAAAGGACAAAAGATAGCTTACATTTTAGAATTAATTTAACAAAATCCAAAAATGGCATTTATCATGAGTTCATATTAACCCCATTAGAAAAATGTTATCAATAGTAAGGTTTTATTGTTCGACTAACTCGGACGAATTTACATAACCGGGATTAATTTAAATACGATTTTTCAGAGAAAATTGCCTTCTTATCTATTGCAATCAAGAAAATCTATAGTGACAATTTATATTTTAGTAAAATGTGTTTTCCATGTTAAGTTATAATATAACAAAATTTGTACGTTGAGGCAAATTTAATAATTTTGAGCTTTGGTTTCTATAATTGTTAGTTTCAAGAGCTAATATTTACTACTGCATGTTAAAATATGTCACTTCCAATGGAGAAGAAAAATTCTTCTTTGAAAATTTAAAAGGGGATGACAACTTTGTTATTAATAATGAAAGAATATTAGGATTCATATTATAAATTATGGTTATGATAAACTTATCTGAAACCACGAAAAAACGAAAATTTTCTGGACGCAAATTGAAATACCCATCTTAAATTAGACATTCCAAAGTAAATATTGTACAAATCAAAGAGTTCAAAAGCGAAATTGTTCTACATAAATTAGGTCAAAATGACAATGATGTTGTAAAAAACTAATAGATTGAGACATCAATTACGGTTTTCATATTTTGTCATATAATTCAAGCAAAATAATAAGTTAAAGACTACCATTTAAGTTCTAAATTAATTATGTACAAATATTTATGACGAGATTAAAAAAATATTTTAATGTTTTAAACAAGTGCATCAATACATAGTATTTATAGAGAACATTTATATGTATAGAAGGAAAATATAAAATTTTATGTAAAAGTGATGCGTTATTACTTTTTAGATATATCAAAAATTCATCTAATTTGTCCATATGCACAAACCGCCTAGAAGTATGTGATAATTCATGGTTTAATTAACGTATTTAGAAATATGAATTTGCTTGAAATTTGTAATCTAAAGCATTGCCCAAATTATGAAAACTTCACTTCACTTTCTAAATGAGGTGTCCTCAATGGCCATAAGATATGCTGCCATATTATATATATATAGTACTTGTTGGTATGAATATTCAAATATAAAAATGTCAATAACTATTTCGTTTTGCTATTATACATTTCATTTTATGACAAATTTTATAATTATGAAATACCCTGTTGCAATGCCAATATTAGTATGTTGAGATAAAAGAGTAGTTTTAAATATTTTATGCAAGGTACAAATTCCATTTTTCGAAAAATAAGAAAATAAAATATATAACTTTTTTAACGATATTAAACATACTTCAATTTTACCCATTCAATTGTTTTAACTCTTTAGCTAAATTTGGTGTTTCGACCTTAGGGTAACTTGATTTACAATCCACAATATTAGAAACTATGGTGTCTTGCAGTGACAAGTGTCGGAATTTTGGCTTGTCCATTGTTAATCCTAAGGAAAAAACACTTTTTGGCCGAACATGCAGGAGCTGGAGTAAGATTTAGAAATTTATTTTATTTCTTTAGCTCTTATTCTCATCTACTATCTCATCTTCTACTCCATTCTCGCATCTTTCTGGATCGGAATGCTTTCTGTCCTTATCTTTGGATTGGTTAGTAATGAATCTCCCTCAATGACAGGGATGCAGAGTTTGCTTAAGTTGAACCCAGGTATATGATTCACATGACCTATATTTTATTTTATATTCAACATTTTAACATATGGTTAATTTTTTCAAAGGACTGAGCTCCGTGCCACGTGCAAACGACGAGGCGACCTTGATGCAAATAACTACTTTTGACAGCAAAATAAAGGAGGATTACTTAAATTATATGAAGGAATATTTATCTAAATATCCGGAGCAATCCTCCAACTGCAATTTCACATCGGGCGAAAGAATCAGCGGCACTATTCGCGAACCTTGTGAATTTCCTCTCTCACTTCTTGGTCCATGTGCCTATCCAGAAAAATACTTGACGGATAATAATAACGCTTGCTTTTATCTTAAACTCAACAAGGTATTTTTGTTAATATTTTTATTAGTTAATTTTTTTGAACATTTTAATCATATTCTTTCTAAATTACAGATCTATGGATATCTTCCGGATGTTGAGGGAACAAAAATTCACGTGGAGTGTGGTCCATCTGTAAATTTGGTCGTTTTTTTTCATTTCTTTCTTTTGGAGTTATTTTTACTTTATTTTTGATTTTTAGAACACCATGGATAGGAAATTTCTAGGTGAAGCAGTTTACTATCCTCAAGTTGAAACAGCCAATGGCACTTTGTAAGTGACTTTTGATGAGTTTTTTCTTTCCAAGGTCTGACGAATCATTTCGTTATAAAAATTTTACATTCCAGAGGTTATTTTTCTACGGTTGTCTATCCCTACTTAAACCAGAAGGACTATCAAACTCCACTTCTGGCCGTTGTCTTCCCGAAACTTGTACGCAACATGGTTGTTATGATTACTTGTGGCGTTAAAAATGTGGCCGGCGCAGAGGAATTCCGTTTTGATATAGCTGTTGATACAGAAAAATCCATTGCCTTTAGTTAAGTGGCTCAATTTCTCGCTCCTTCTCTTCGACCAAGAAGCTGTAGAGTTCTTCCACAATACTTTCCGTTTCAAACACATACACACCACCAACAACAACAAAAACAACAAAATTTCTTCGCTTTTAGCTCAAATATGGACTTGAAATTAATCTTACTTTAGCACTCTCCTTCTAAAAATCTCTTCCTGCCCACCTCTATCTCCCCTTTTGCCTCAAATCAATATGTAGCTTGTGTATGCTGTAGATTTTATACGTAAAACGCCTGTTATTACACTACGGACTCATTTATGAATCGTGCCTACTTCACTTCTTCTATTTTTTCTTTTTCTGTACTTTAATTCGATGAGATTAATATTACGAAGGACATCGCCTTAAGGATCGTACTTTACGATACCTTTCATCCTAGGTGGCACTTTGCAACAGCCTGTCTCAATTGAGATGACAGAAAGCCCTCTTCCCTCCCCGCCCCCCTCCCCTCTTGTAATGAAGGTTAGATTTCATTGAATGTAGATCTAATTGTATTGGTAGTTAATCAATATATCCACTAAGAGTAGTTCAATTAGTTTACTAAATGAAGGCGTTATGATAAGTGCTTCCTTACATGCTTAGGAGAACATTAAAGAGAAAGCAAGTTTAAACTAGCCTGACTTACGGGAAATCAATAGAGCTAATCTAGGAAAGTTAACTTCTTGCACATATTCCCATATCATGACTCAGAATGAAGGAAAATGATTGCCAAAGCAATTTTGTACTTCAGCAAAAAATTGAAAGAATTTGCATTGAAATTGAGTAATCAACATGCTGTGTATCTAATTACCCTACATCAGGTGTTCACTTTCAATGGTCTTACAAATTAGCTTACACTACTCACTTCTATGTAAAATGATCCCACTTCTACCTCAGTGATCACTAAGTTCACAAGGCTTTATAATCCATCAATTCTTTCGTGATGAGGGGGGGGGGGGTTGAGCACTTGAAATTCTATTCTCGAGGTCTTAGTTATACTATGAAATAAAAAAATAAACTGGACTTAATAAGTGATAACTCAGGGAGTTGAATGGAGTTAAAATTACTGAAAAAAGTTTGAATTTGTAAGAATATTGCGAATAATTTTGTGTTATATCAATGAGGCAATAATAAATTGTTATAAATAGCCACTGTAGCCGTGCGAAAGAAACCAAACTAAAAACTATTTACTTCGGCCATGAGAAACCATGATCCGTTTTAAATACACACACAGTAAAATAATAATTGAAAGTAGTGGTTTAAAACAATATTGGTAAAAATCTCATTTGTGCAAAGTCGAATGACCTCTGATTTTGATACTTCCGAAGCTAATGGGTGTTTGAGAGGAGAAGCCGAAATCAATTTGATCAATTGATTTTCAAGGAGTAAATCCATTGTTACCCCATAAAGTCCATGTTTTGACACAGGTTTAAGTACTCGATCAGTAACCTTCACCTCCTTTTGAACCGTTTTACAATTTAAGAAGCTTTATTATTTACTGTTTAGCCATGAGTAAAATCACTTGCATTGAAAAGCATTGGGTAAGTCTCTCTGTCAAATACACTTAACCACTGGTTGATTGGCCCTAGTGCAGCTGATATTGTGTCTACATCCTGCAAAGATAAACAATTTTTTTGCCGCTTGGAATGGCCTGGAAAAAGCTGTCACATGTTAACCTTAACCATGGCATTTGTCTTAAAGGAACTAATTATATACTCCCATTTCTTTTAGGCACAATTTTTTTGCGAATAAGACTTCTCATGGAATTCTCCCTACTGGCTTAGGCATAGACTTAGCATTTTACAGGCCAATTCTCATCAAAATACCACACTTTTCCACCACCTAATTTAGTCTAAACGTCTTGACTCGATTTATGTGATGCAGGGTATTGGCTATGAGGGGGTCCAGAAATTCATATTGATTAGATTATTATTATTATTATTATAGATACCTCGATCCTATTTCAAGCTCTTTTTGGTAATGAAAATGCAGTAAGTTGTCCCACTCACCTACTTTCTTGCTCTGAGCAGAAAAAAATGTCAAGAAGTTGCCTTCCTTGGCACCAAGTTTACTAGTCAGTTAATGAAGTAGAAAATTTAAATTTGAATTCTAGGTGATTGGAATGGTGAATAGGCCAGCCAAACAGTATCCAATTTTCTTTTCATGATAACAACCCTCCCCCCCTCCTCCACCCTCCTGTTTATACTGATCGGCGCCAGACCATCATGAATTGGATAAACAAAAAAGAGGATGCTAATGCGTGAAAATCTCGATTATTTCATTTCCTGCATCCATTTGGTACACATACGCACACACACACTATCTCTATTTTTAACATAAATAAACAGGACACCACGGCCAAGAAAGACCAAGTTCACCTCATTCAGGTCACACTATTGAAGTACAGTCTTACTGCGACATGGTCACCATTAAACTGTCCCTCGCACCCCCCCCCCCCCCCCCCCCCCCCCCCCACCCCTATCCGCTTTGCACGCACGAACTAGTTGACAAGTTGTAGGCTGTCAGAGTTGCAAACATTGTCACGTACTCACTGTTTAATTTACTAGGATGTCGTAAACTTAGATCATTACTGCCCTTCATTTAGTGCACTTCCCGACGTCCACACTGTGGAACCTTTGCATCCTGTTGAGTGGAATTCCGATTGCACCGATGAAGCTTGATCAAAGTCAAATCACATGAATGCCACATTCCAGTAATGTGATGCTTAATTCGACTCAAATTGGAACATTGCGAGTTTGTTCACCACGTCATAGGAAAACAAACTTTACAATCGGTCTGAGTGTGAGATTTGGAAATGCTGATAGTTACAGAGATTTTACCAACAATTCTCATAATCTGTTTTTCTCTCAATGAAATAATGGCTTAATAGGAGGGGGAGGTTTTTAAACATCCAATCCTCAAAATTTACATTAAAGTTGCTGAATTCTACTTTAGTAGTAAGAATCAGATATTGTTAATTCCTTGAAACCATGAATACTTGTTGAGTCATAGACGAAACAGATAGATGGGGTATAATGATTGCTCACAGTGGCCATTCAACGACAGACAACCACCCCCCCCCACATACTGAAGTCATATATTTGAAATCTTTAAATAATGAACATTGATGACAGAGTTTGAAGTAAAACATTTAAATAAGTAGAGAGACACTACATTTTGTAAAGCCCTCAAATACAAGCTCAACTTTAACGCCATATATTTAAAGGTGACCCTCGTATTTACGTTGGAACATTATAGAGACCAGTTGTCCAGGTGCCAAAGTGACTAGGAGCCAATAGAGGAGGACATACTTAGAGCTTAGGGAAAATATTCCGCAAACTGCCGGGTCAAAGCCAAGGTCTGAGATTCTGGAGTGGAGTCTCAGGTGATAAAAGAAGCGAGTGTAAATACTTGCGCACAATTTGAATTTGAATTATAACCTCATGTTAAGCATGCCATTCTCAAATGCCATTTTAAAGACACATTTGTTTCTTGTTAAATTGTTCACTTAATAGGGACTTGGAAGGTAAAGCAAGCAATACAATATAATTGTCAGGTAATTTTACAGTTAATATTGTCATTTTTGAGAAATATACGAATGTGTCTGGTGCATGGAAGAAGGTAATTAGGTTCAACCATTCGTTGCGATATCAGGCAACGAGGTCGAGGAACAGTTGACAACCACAACCCCAAGTCAAACAGAACAATTAACTGAGTGAAGAACAAATACATTGTAAAGTAAGGGTTAAGTTAGGGACAGAGAGGAAAGTATGAGAGTGGAAGAGGAATGACAAGCGATTGTCCACTTGTGTGCCAAGGTCTATAAAAGGAGCTTTAAATAGTTTCAGGGAGATGGAAAAGCATGAACCGATTGAATAGTTTCTGTCTTCGTTGATCGTGGTGACCAAATGCTCACTCATAGACCGCATAATTGGCTTTTACCGCTAATTAAAGTAAACCATTTAAAGATATTATTGACTCACAGAATTAAAATCACTTGAAATTTCCCATGATGTCGAAGTAACTAGGTCCCAAAGTTGGTGTCGACCTAAATAAAAATTGTGAAAGCTCTTGAGGATTCAGCCTTTAATAGCGGAGCTTATTCTACTGAATTAAGACTTTTCATAATTTCATAAATCAACTCAGATTGCCAGGAAATCGATGAAGATTATACATATGAAACTCTAAAATTGAAACGAGCCTCCTCGCCCCAAATTCCCTTAACATTGTAGCAAATGCTAGGATAATGGGTGATATTCTGATGTTGACCGATTAACCACTCTTGACAAAGAGGATCTAAGGGTTGACAAATGTCAATCATATAATCTTTTCTGGTAACCAGACCACCCCTCCCCTCCCCCCCCCCCCCCCCCCCCCCTCCACTCCAATTTCATACCGTGTTGCTGTTAAAATTGAAGGCGCATTATAGCCAATCTCATAGCCTCGTCCATTGACTATTATTTATTTATATCAAATGGTAGGCATCTTGATGGTCATCATTAGCCCTTTAGTTAACTTCAGACTTCACAGAGGGGAAGGAACATCAAATTGAAAAAAGTCGAGAGGGGGGGGGAAGGAAGAGAAGAGTGTTTCAAAGATGTAAGAGACAAACGCAAAGGTAGAAAAAAAGGTGAGGTGAGTACTGGGAAAATATTCGAATATGGCATAGAGTGAGGTGAAGGCAGTTTGAAGTGAGAAGTCAACTTCCAGTTAATAGACTTTTTTGCCGTATGAATATACGTTGCCCAGGGTGCACCACGTGGAGGTAAGTCTATCACGCACCCCCCATTGACTATTATAGAGTGGGTGAAAAACGTGGTGGGTGAACCAACCACGGATAAAATCCTAGCGCATGAATCAGAAAGTCAAGTCATGAAGGAGGAATAATGGAGTAATGAAAAGTGAACTATATTCATATTATGACAATATGAGCATCTCAATGATTCCATAGCCTCCATAGATTGTCCCATTGGAGTCATTACCTGCGCCAATTGCT